ACTATTTACTACTCATACTTTCCCTACTTTGCAGTTTTTCACTTACCGCGGGGCTTCAGGGTATGGATCCACCGAGATAAACAAGGGACTACTGTACTTCCTCCACTCATTAACAGACTGTACTTAACGCTGCTAGTTCGTTTCATGTTTATTATTAAAAAATGTCATATAATTTTCTTCACCTCATTCCGAACCCCATCCCTTGCAGAATAAAACCCCTTAGACCCAGCTTCTGCTTCTGTGTCTGTAATCTGGGTAGCCGTCTTGATTCAGAGTGACAACGAGGCAACTTTAAAAATGAAAGTAGTGAAAACATCATCTGGGTCGACACTCACCTGCAGTAAGTGTACAAGTACGGCTGGCGAACAGCTTGCAGGGGAGCCCAAATGATGAACCCCAGCAGGGCAAAAGGAAGGGATGCAAGGAAGAGCAGCAGATAAAGAGGTGCAGAAATCAGGACACACAGGGTCAGGAAGGAGCAGGGGTCCCGGGAGCGTTGGCGCTTCTCCAGGGAAGTGGCCACGCAGGAGCCCAGGAGCCGGTCCAGGAACCAGTAGCAGGGAAACACCAGGCTCCACGACAAGCCATCCAGGAAGTGCAGACAGGCACTGGAGTAAGGGGTGATGTGGAGGACCATCTCTTTCCGTCGTTCCTGCTCTTTTTTTCCCCTTTCTGTCACTTTCTCCTCACCTCACGCTCTCTGTCCTCATCCACATACACTCAACAAGTGCGCACAAATCTGTTCTGATTACATGAACAGAAAGAGTAATAATAATAAAAAAAGAAGCCAGATTCAAATGTGCACCCTCCCCCCTCTTTGGAGAAAGGAACACTACATGATTTGGGAGATTTCTATCTACAGTGGGAAGCTTATCTCAGTCTCACTACCCCTCCCTCAGTAATTACACCCCCCATAGGAGGGTTCAAGAAGCAGTCTGGATGCAGCGCATTGCCATAATGAAAGGCAGTCGCCTGATGCCGGATCTATGATTGCGAAGACTCCAACGACCTCCGTAGGGGGGCGTCCATTAAACGTCACAATTTCCTCTGGGCCCTTTGGATGGAAAGCAGATCAATAGGGGAGGAGGGAGAGGGGAGGAATAAAAATGCATGATGTTAGTAACAGACTTTACTGATGAATAGAAGCAGTAAACGTCTAACAATATCTGTGAATAAAATAAATCTTTGCACAGACTTTTCTGTTCTATACATAGAAATAATCTTGATCACACTTTTTATTAGTCACTAAAGTCATGTTCATATAAAAATGAAAGCTACAAAGATTTCCTTGATTTTCAAATTAACTCATGCTGAGCAAATGCATGTTTCTTATAATCTTATTTAGGCGTATAACAAAATCATCATCATTTACATTAGTGTTACATTTGCAACAATTAGAGCAGAGTCCAACTGCAAAAGAAAAGAAAAAGTAGAAAGTCAAGCTGTTGAAGAAAACCTAAAATATATGCAAAAGAACGTTTCCACTTTGTGACTACTTAGGACTTTTTAATAAAAGATAAAACTACAAAAGAGTAAAACCCAATCAGAGATTTGTCTTTCGGTGTAAACATTGATTTTAACAGACTCACATTGTCAGTGAGCAATCAGGTTATATGATAAAGCTAGAAAAGTAAGAAAGCTTAAACCAGGTAGAGCATAGCAATGACGAGCATTTAAAGTAGAATCATAAATTTAAAGTGTTGAAAGAATCTAATGAAGTAAAGATAATAAGCATGAAACCAAGTCTGCAGATAATTAACTTTTACCTACGTGTTTGGGATTATTGATCATCTCATTTTTAGGACTATTTCAAGATTGTGTGATAATCAGGTTGAGGGACCAGTAGAAAGACATTTTAATATAATCAGTCTATTCATGGTCTCTTGGAGCAAACATTTGTTTAAATTGATTGTTTTAACAGACGTTGCTTGCTTTCAAATTTCTGTGCTATCCTTTTTTATTTCCTCTTTCTCTTTTTTCCTCACTTTCCCTGTGTCACTGTCTGCAGAACACATTGAAAACAGTACAGATTTACTAACGTGATCAACAGAAAAGCTATTAATTTTATTCTGAAGCCATTTTGTAAATTTCGTTTTGCCATTGCTTCTGCTCTTTAATCAACGTGAACAGTTTCTAAAATGAAGCAGGACTTTTTTGCTGTTCTTTTACAAATACTTAAAACATTTATAGATGATGGAACAATCTCTTCTTGGCTATGCAAGGTTTACAGAAAAAATAAATAAATAAAAAAGCTATTGCTTGAAGAAGGTAATTAAGCTGAGATCTTGGCATCTGAGTGATCTCAAAGTTCCATTTTTTATGTGTCCCAATTTGAACAAAAGTGTTGTTTTATTTATTTATTTTTTCATGAAATCCATCTTTCATTTATTTCTCTAACAGGTCTTCTAACAAGAGAGAGAGAGAGAGAAAAAAAATCCATTACCATTAATAAATTATAACCAGATTATTTTGTTTATGCCAGCAGGCAGCAGAGAAATTGTGAAACCTCGGAGTGACCAGTTTACCTCAGAAAACTCAACGAACCCTACAAGGATCAGTAGAACTATCACAACTGGCTACCAAACTGTACTGCTGGAAAGATATATATATATATATATATATATATATATATATATATATATATATATATATGTGTGAAACCCTAACCCTATATCAGTAGTTGAAAAAGTAACAGAAACCTTACTAATGCTTTATACAAGTCTTAAGTGTTAATAAATGTCCTTGTTGCAAAGTCACAAAGATTGATCTTTATAACATCTTAAGCAAACAAAATGTATTTAATACTGTATGTATTGCATATCAGTAGTTAATGTGTCCCTAAATAAAATAAATCTTAATCAAAATTTTTGACCAGATTATCGTATTTTTGCAACTTATTGTCTTCTCTGAGATTCTAGTCTTGTCCAGGGGTGTCAAACTCACTTACACAAGGGGGCCAAAAATTAAAACCTTTTTAGGACTGGTTTCAGAATCTACATTAACTCAAATCAGATACCCAACATCTTTTCTTGGTCACAGCAGGATCCTCAACAAGAGTTTGGTTGGTCTCATTTGATGTTCTCTGTTGCACTTTTGACATCATTATCAAAGATGACTGAAAAAAATTAAGTGATAAAAGTATTTTACATTTAAAATAACATCTTGGGGGCCAGATAAGATGCCAATGAGGGCCACATTTGGCCCCTGGGCCTTGAGTTTGACACATATGCCCTACACTGACCATGACCAGCCTAATGTCCGTCAAACATTGAAGCTTCCATTGGATTTTTGGCAGATTTTGACATATGTTTACTCTGACTGTGTACATGTATTTCTCTAGTTTTCTTTAATTTTCTCATATCTAAAGCACTGCTTGTGTAAACACTTTCATTATGCACCATATGATTTAGTTCAGGATAACCTTTTTCTGTTTGACTTTACCCTTTGCAATGTGCACCTTAAACTGTTTATCATTACACTTTACATCTGGCCGTACTCTGAATTTTATCTAAAAACACAACCCCTACATTGTTTTCTGCAAACAAACAAAAAGCAGAACAAATAGAACATATTGTCACATCAAGATGTGCTTTGGAACAAAACAACAGCCATATGTCAATGACAGTCTGTTGTTTTCTACCAAAATGGGGCTCTTTTGTTAGACAGTGTGTCCTATGAATAGCACATCTCTCTCGTGTGAACAATATCTCCTCACTGTCAGTAATCTTCCTCTGCACAATCCAAACCTTTGTGTACAATAATAATTCTTGTTGTGACAGATGAGCCGCCTGTTTTGTCAGATGACTGACTTGTGACCCATTTTGAGGTGGGCTGGAGGAGACGAAGAAATGACCTGCTGACTCATAGTTTATCCGACAGACATATACAGTATCTTGACCATCATTTTACTGTCTGATCAACAGCAGCTTCCTGTGGCATTGTACTGAAGTGGACTTGAGGTCAGTGTGTGCTTAACACAGCTGCCGTGATTGTTAAGGGTCGGTTTAACTCTGGTTTAATAATTTATTACTGTAACTTGGATATAAATAATGCACAAGCAGAGCAGAGAGGAATGAGAGTGAGCTAACCACTGGAAGCCATCAAAGGGTTTACCATCACTCATAAACTCAAATGTAGACACTTTGCATTAACTCAGCGCAACCTGGCACTGAATCTGCAATTACTTTAATCATAAAGACACATCATTTGTGATCCAGTATCAGTATTAATCATTATATGAGCTGGAGGAGAAGAGAAGAGGTACATCCACCAAAGAGTTCCAGTTCATTGCAGGACCAACATGGAGATACTGAAGACAGATAACACACAAGGATAATCTCAGTTCTCCAGTTGCCCTAACATACATGTTTTTGGACTGCAATAAAACTAAATAATTTGCAGAGGACACATACAGAATGAAAACATGAAAACTTCATACAAAAAGACTCCAGCTGAGATTCAACCAGAAACTTCTTGCTGTGAGGTCACAGTGCTGATCACTGTTCAGTCTATGCATCTGTATCACAATCCCTTTATGAATCAAAGAAAAAACAAAGCTATCACAAATGGATGAAACAACATTTAATATACGGTATAAATTATAAGCCTCACATGGTCAATCAGGTCAATAATCAGCCTAAGCTTTCAGAGAGTTGTTCTGTAGATTTAGCATCCATGTTTTGCAATTTAAAGTTTGCTTCACAAGTTATTACCCATTTCATTTTCTTAAAAGATGATATGGAAACCATTACGAAGTTCTTTATTGACCACAAGGCGAAAGCGAATAACATTGCTGTTGCTTGTGTTTGTGTAGCTGCATGTCAGGTTTGTGTGGAAGGACCCAGACATGTAGACTGAACTGGAGGACTGGATGCAAACAAAAATTAACAAGAAAAATAAAAGCTGACGAGGCAGCAGACAAATTAAACATCAGTAATCTCAAAATGAAAGAACAAAAACATAACATAAATAAAAAAATAATAACAATGAACCTCCAAACCACGGATCATTACAGCGTGTGTTAATATCTTGCGAACCACTAGAAAGATTTAAATAAGAACCTCTGCCATAAATTGTTGTATGTACATCTACATCTGGTTAACAGGTCAGTTCAAGATGGCTGCCACATCACCCTTTGATTTGATGATGAAAGTATGTCTAGGGCAATGTTTAAGTGACTTTCATGGACCTGTATGTGCGCAATGTCAGAACACAGCTCAACAAAATGAGAAGTGTGTGATGGTAAAGTTGAGGTGGGGAAGAAAGGCTTTTCCTCCTTCTCAAGTTTGTTTTGCTGCCTGTGTTTGTGCTTCCTACAGCGTCAAATCCGTCGACTCGCAGCATTTAAAGACGTCAGAAGAGCAGTTCAAGTTTCCTGAAGGAGTTTCTTTTCTGCAAACAGCACCAACAACAGAACGCACAAAACACCCAACAACCACTACTGATATGTCAGCAGCACAAAGCACATCAGGAGAAAATTTCACAACAAAAAGTCGTGTGCTAATCAGAAATCAGCTTTGATGCCGCCTGGTGGAGGTGGCAAAGATCAACTGGGCAAAAAGACGATTTAAATTATTATTGCTACAAAAAAATTGTAACGAGCATGATGAATCTTCACTAATACTATGTAGACATATA